TTTGTCTTCTCTTCGCCTGTATGTGTGGGTGAATGGGTGCGCGCCAGCAGCAGCAGCCGCTCCACCCCAGATGTCGCCACTGTGTATCATGCACGCCCACCTCACCGCCGCTGGAGCGCAGGACGCGGGACACCGCTGTTGTTGTTGTTGTTGATGCTCGCACTACTGCTGCCGCTACCGCTCGCGGTGATGCTGTTGTTGCCGTGGCGCACCTGCAGCGGCAGCACCTGCGCGCCAATGTAGTGGTGGGCGAACTCATCGCGCGGCTCGAAGTACTTCTGCGCGCGGTGCCGTGTCTCGTCGGACACGATGCAGCCCTCTAACTTCGCCATGACGCGCGACCCCGCGGAGATCGGCCGCGTCGCCTCCGCCGGCGCGTTCTTCAGCACTGCGTAGAGCTCTGCGACCAGCAGGATCTCGCGCGTCTTCCGCTCGGGGCCGTCGCTGACTAAACTCAGCAGGTCCAAGTTGTCCTCGAGGAACGCCGTCGTATCGCTGCAGAGCTCGGCGTGCAGCACGGCACTCAGCAGCTCCGGTGCAATGAGCGGGCAGCGTAGACGCGACGACGACCGCACCGCGTCGAAGAGGCCCTCCTTCGAGGGCGCCCCGGTGAGCAGCGCGCAGAAGACCTCGATCTCGAGGTTCACCTGCCGCACGTCGGGGAAGTTCACCACGCGCAGCTCAAACCCGGGCTCGCGCTGCTTGTGGTAGCGGTGCACAACGTGCAGCGGGCGGTAGCGCACGAAGTCCGTTGCCTCATCGCTCGGCGGCCGCTGGGGACTACGCAGGTTCGTCTGCTTCGACACGTCGCACAGGTACGCGCGCACCGCCGCGGCGTCGTTGCCGAGCAGGTGGTGCAGCGCCTCGTTGAGCAGGTCCTCGTCCAGCACCTCCCGCGTTGCATCACTGTAGATCATCTCCACCCAATAGCGGAAGATGTTGAGGTCTTCGTGCAGCTTCTGCCGCACCGCGTTGGCGAAGGCGCCCATCGCCACCTTGCGCAGTTCCGGTCTAAGCGAGCCCTTGTGATAGTTGTTGAGAGACTGCAAGAATGCGCCGTACAACGCACGGTCCTTCGCCGCCTTCACAACAGTCAGACAGCGCTCTGTCCACACCTCCACAACGGCAATGACGTTGGCGAAGTTGTTAATGATCTCGTCCACCACCTCCTCCACACTGCGCCCGGTGAGGGAGACATTCTGCATGTAGCGCGCTACACTCTCCGTCGTAGCCAGCTGCTTCGCCACCGGGCCACTGGAACTCGCGGTAGAGTTGAGCGAAGCACTCAGCGCTACACTACCGTGACGCGATGCGGCGCTGCGGGGGGCCGGAATGCGCCTACCACCAACAAAGACAGGTGGCTTCATCTTGGGTGATATATCACGCGAAAGAATCCCTGATGCTGCAGCAGCAGCGGCTGCGGCTGCTGATGATGGCAGCGCATGCCGCCCAGCACCGCTAGTGGAGGCGAAGGTGCCCTCCTCGCTGGAAGGACTATGGGGCCGCAGCGCGGAAGCGGTAGCCCCTGGTCTCTTCAAATCCGACAAAGGATATTGCTGTTGCTGCTGCTGCTGCTGCTGCTGCTGTTCTTGCTCTTCAGAAGGCGGCTGCAGCTGTTGCTGCTGTTGATGTTGTTGCGCCGTCTTAATGGTGGCATTCCGCTCCTCCAACGTCTTTTGTAGTCGCTCGACAACAGACATAAGAAGGAACCTAATACGAGGCACCGGGTGGCGCACCGACCAATGCTGTAGGACAGCTGTTAAGCCGGGGAGCATGGTGCACCCAATAGCAGAGCGGAAGAAGACGGAGGAAACAATGCCCAGAAGCGTGATCACCTCATCCATCTGCATTTCCGTTGGCGTATAGGGAGGAACGACGCGAAGCCCCTCGTGTCCGTACAACCCAGTGCAAGCCGTAAGGAAGATGTGCTCAATCACCTTCTCCGTCACGATATGGCGGAGGTAGAGCTCGCCAACAAACTGTACAATGCCGCACGCACGATCACGCCGCTCCTTAAAGCTCTCTTCAGCATTTTGTAAGGCGCGTTCTTCACCACCACGCTCGGCCTGCTCTACGTTTTTCTCCTCCAGCTGCTGGAACTCCATCTGGCATCTATGCAGTAGTTGTTGCCGCAGGCGGAACTCAAGGCTCTGTGATTTATCTCCTATGAGCTTCTGACCCTCTGGCACTTTACAGAGCGCCGACACCAGGTCAGCGTAAGAGTTGGAGAAGTGTTGCTCCTTAACCGCCTTCATGAAAAACACTTCAACAATTTTTGCCAGCATCATGTCATTCGCCTCCGGGATAGGCAGCCGCAGGAGCTCATTCTTTACCTCGCGGTACTTTTCCGCGTCGTTTGTAACACGGTTAAGAATAGAGATAACGAGTTGATGCAGTTCCTTCCGCTCCACCTCACCAAAAAGGCCACGCTTCCGTCCGAGCGTGTTGACTACTGGAATGGGAGCCTCCCGCCGGTTCTCCCACAACTCTGTCAGCGCCTCGAGTGAGCGGGCGGTGTGGTGCAGAGATGTGCCGCCCTTCGGCTTCGTCGTCGCAGCAGGAGGGGGTGGCGGGGGAGGGGCCTCCGCCACCATCGCCGGCACTGCTGCACGGAGCTGCTCCAGGAAGGCGGCAATCTTCTCCGGGCAGCACCCCGTCACGTGCCTCCGACGCTCCATGGCAAGCGGTGTGGCCTCCGGGCTGTACGGAATGAGCGTCGCCGCGACAGCAACAGTGGCGGCATCCGGTTCATTTTCCACCATTCGCGTCTCGCTCCCCATGCCGTCGCCGGGTGTTTGTTCGGTGGATGGACTATAACTATTAGTCGGGTTACCGCTCGACGGGAGTGTCCTCTCCGTAGATGGCACCAAGGTGTTGGACACGGCAGGCAACTTCTGCTGCTGCTGCTGCTGCTGCTGCACTTGCAGTTGTGGCTGCTCTTCATTTTGCTGATGGTCTGTATCAACTGTTTGCGTGCCTATACTAACCTTCTCACATGGACGCCAATTACCGGCTGCGTTTAGTGTTGTTTTTCTGTAGCATTCGAATCGTTCGCGCGCGGCGTGCAGGGCGTCCACGAGTGACCGCGGCAGGCCACGCCTGCATGCAGCGCGAGTTTCACTTCCCGGAACAGAGCTAGTCCTTCTGGGCTTCTTCACCCTGGCCGCCGCAAGTGGCTCCATCGATAGGTGAAGGATAGATTATGCGCCGTGTAACGGTTCTTCGCTGTATGCTTTGCTCTTGTATGCACAAACACGCACACACACACACACACACACAGAGAGAGAAAGAGAAAGAAACACAGAAAAAAAGACAGAAAACGAGAGACAGGGGACGAGGAGAGAGAAAAGAACAATTGCAAAGAACACACAAGTCGGAAGCAACGTATAGAATACCACCACGTGCAGAGAAACACAGGTATACGCAGCTGTACACACCCACACACAGACAGACACAAACATACACACAGAAAGAGTGGAGGAGACATCCCGTCCTCTTGTACATACGAGGCCGCCACACACACTCCTTCTTTCTCTCTCTCTCTCTCTCTCTCTCTCTCCATCGCGGGTGGCCGCGCTGCACATCAAAAGCACTGCCGCAGCACTGCCGACGAGCCGAATTCCTCGTACTCGGCCTTCGTCACCCAGAAGTCCTGGAACGTCGGGAGGGACGCCAGAATGGAGCCGCCAACAAAGGCGGCGTGGCGGCGCTCCGTTTGTGCCACAATGCGCGGGGCGTTTCCGGCAACTTCACCAATTTCGCTACCCACACGCTGCGGGAGCCCGCGTAGCAGTGAGCACCCACCGGAGAAGTGAATCGACTCGTAGAAGACTGGCGAGAGGTCCAAGTCGCACTTCTTCACAGACTCCTCTATGAGGCTATGCAGACCTCGCGGTTCCGCCGAGGTGCGCAGCCGCTCGACGTTTTCAATCGCTGATTGGTCAAACATGAACACATCATCCGTGACGAGCGACGGGTCCAGCAACATCTCCACCGGCACGAAGCGGTTCGAACCGAGCGTAATGACTGTACCGTCCGGCAGCTGATGTTGCACAGGTCCATAACTGTTGCTGTGCCCATCCGTGAGGCTGCTAACGCTGCCGCTCGCCTCGCTATCCCGAACCTCGTAGAAGGTCTCGCTGTTTGGGCACGCCTCGCAGTACTTCTCCTTGAGGTGCTCCCAGACATCAATGCGGTGCGCCGGCTGCACCACCTCAGGCAGCGCGGGGCCCGTTGCCATCATGTAGCGTGTGAGGTAGTCCCCGCCGTAGTTAAGCATGTGCACAGCGTGGAACAACGGGCAGCCCTGGAACACCGGAACCACGTGGCACGCGTCGTAGCCCATTTCCACTGACACGCCAGTGCACGTGCCGGCGGCGTAAAGCGCGAGGACAGGGCTCGGCACGAAGTGGAGAGCCGTCACGGCGTGCCGCTCCACAAGGATCTCCGCCAGTTTCTGCCGCTGTGCCCGCGGCACGAGTATCTTTTCGGTCAGCAGTAGCGGTGTTTGCAGATCCTTGGTGCTCAGCTCCAGCAGCTCGTCGAGGTGGTTCAGCAGCACCTCCATCGCGTCCCAGTTCACCTCGCCCTTCACCACGACGCGTGAGACATCTGCGGTCGCCCGACATTCGTGCGCCTTCTTGAGGCACAGCGACTCGTCCTTGCCAGTGCCCTTCACGACGCACGTGGGCTCCGCGATGCGCGGCGTGTCGTCGCCGGCGAAACCAACACGTGTGGTGCAGCTGCCAATGTCCACAACGGCCGCCTGGCGGTGCACGACGGAGACTTCATCGGGGAGCGGGATGTTTGCGAGTATCTTCGCGGTGCTCTCCGCAATACGCATCCTTCCCGCAGCAAACCTTCACTTTGTAGCTCTCTCCCTCTCTCTCTCTCTCTCTCTCTCTCTGTCCGTCTATAAATAAACAAATAAATATATTTATTTATTTATCTGTGTATCTNCTCTCTCTCTCTCTCTCTCTCTCTCTGTCCGTCTATAAATAAACAAATAAATATATTTATTTATTTATCTGTGTATCTGCACAGGTACGCGTCTGTGTATCCCCTTCGCTTATTCACGCAAGACCGCACGGAGAGAAGGAAGGGGTGGAGGGGGCACAGTAACACAGCAGCACAGACGCCATCGGCCCGCCAGCAGCTGTACTACGCGCAGGCACACACAGCCGAGGCGTGGCACGCAATCAAGAATAAAAAGAACACATTGCCAACCAAACACAAATACACGGAAAGGAGCTAGAGAGGCGGAATTCACCGGGTCATTCCTTCTCTCTCTCTCTCTCTCTCCCGCGCTGAAGAGACACAAACAAACACATATGGTACATACGTTTCCCTCCTCTCCTCTCCTCTCCATATCTCTCTTTTTGCGTCCCCACCACCTTCGTGCCCACCAGCAACCCCACCGCATCACCGGTGACGGAGCGTGTTGGCAGCGACGCGCTCGCCCGCAACGTACGGGCGGAAGTCACACTTCGTCACGCTCAAGTAGTCGCGCTCCAGCGGCGGCAGCGGCTCCACGTACGGGTGCACGCGCTGCATGTGCGAGTAGTTGTAATTCCGCGAGGAGGTGCCAAGCGCCATGTTCAGCGCGTCCTGCACAAAGAGCGGCTTCGTGATGGCTAGCGGGTCGCCGTCGGGGCCCCACTCGCGCTGCGTCTCCGCCATCGTTGGCCGCGTCGGCGCGTCCGCGTCCCACTCGCGGAGCAGAAACAGCTCAAACTGCTCGTCGCACAGTATCTCTGCACTCACGGCGGCGTAGAACGCGATGAACTCCTCCAGGCTCACCCCCTTGCCGCCGCTTTCACCCTGCTTGTGCCGCTGCTGGTCGGCGGGGGTGGAGGAAAATGTGGCGCTGAGATCTCCACGCGTGCCGCTGAGGCTGTAACGGTCGTGCATGTCGTCCTGCGCAACTTCGCCACGTCCATTCTTCGGCAGCACCTCCCACGCGCGCAGAATCGCCTTGTGGCGCCGTGCATTTAGCCCAATGAAGTGACGGACGAAGGTGCTGGACGTGATGTAGCCGTCGCGCTTGTCATCAAAGGCGGCACATATGTAGGCGGTCTCGTCGTCGCGGAGCCGCACACCAAAGTCGCGCAGGAGCCCAACGAAGAGCCTGTGACTGATGCCCGTCTCGCCGCGCAGCTGCTGCTCCTCCTCGAGCTCGCGGAACTGGCGCAGCAGCTCAACGACAGACTGCGGCCCGGCACCCTTGCGCACAGCGGCCTTCACACGATGGAACACGCTATCCTCCCGCGGGTTGTTCGTGTCGCTCGACTGCATTGTCGCCGCCGTACACACTGAGAGAGAGAGAGTGTGTGTGTGTGTCGAAAAGCCAGCAACCACCCCACGCAACAGCAGCAGGAACAGCTACTCTTCACACGTGCGGAGAAAACACCCAATGAAACCGAAAAGAGAGAGCACCACATATGGGATCCGGGATTCAGCATGGACGCGAGGGGGGAAGTCCTCGCAGCACCGTGGCGAACCATTCACGCCACACTCCTGACAGCGGCGGCGTCTCCGCAAACAAATGGAGTGGCAAAATGACCCCCCAACGAAAAGAAATGAAAGAAAAAAAACAGTAAAGCCCCCAAAACAACTCAATTTTCCCTTCCAACAAGTCACCGCCTCGTCGTGAACGGTGCACGAGGGTGGCGTAATGTGATAACACGATATGATGTGACGTCCCACCAGCCCCCGCCGCGCTACGTGATGCACGCCAGCCTCTCTTCCACAGGGGCGTGGTAGCTCGACCAACAAGCCCGGTAACGTGTAGCGCGCGGATGCTGCAGCAAGTCCGTTTCCCCAGAAGCAGAAACTTCATTGCCATTGTCATGCCAAAAGGCGACAAACGCTTCAATCAACGCACATAGCGTCACCTCGGCGTCAGCGCCGCACCCGAGAAGGCAAGACTCCACCACGTCATCATCATCATCATCATCCTTTCTGCTGCTGCTGTTGTTGCTGTCGATCTCAGGCGTGGCAAAGCGTTCACCGCACGACAGCACATCGTCCATCTCCTCCTCCGGCCCCCATTGTCTCACGCCGGTGAAGAACGGCTGCACGAGCGCCCCGCGGCCGCTGAAAAACTCCCGCGGGACCAACGATCCGCACTTGTCATCCACCAGCAGTGATGTGGCGGGTGCGCCGGTGACTGACACTGACTTCTGCCGCCCGTCGGGTCCGCAGCAACGGGAACTGCCGAGTGCAAAGGCAAGCGGCACCGGCATCAGCGGCCGCAGCAGTTGCTCCGCCACGGCGTGCGCGTAGGAGGGTGTATTACGTGTGAAGAGCCCCACCCTCACCGCCACGCGCGACGTGCTCAACGCCCCACTCACAACGCGCAGAAACTCGGGCACGTGTGGGCGCATCGTGAAGGTGCAGTCATGCACGCACCGCCCGCGTTCGGCGTCATGGTAGCACAGCGTCTGCTGCCGCACGAGCGCCCCGCTGACGGCAAAGGGATGACTCGCGGAGAAGCGGCGGCAGGTGGAGAGCAGCGTGTTGTCGATGTCGAGGACGACGAAAACGGGGACCCTGCCGCCACGACTCATTCGTCAATCTTTCCTCTCCCGCGACTCCTCTGGCACTCTGCCTCATCTATCCCACAGACACACATACGAGGGGAAGAGAGAGAGAGAGAGAGAGAACGGAGGGGGTAGGGGAATGCAAGTCTGCAGTCTCTACGAAGAAGACACGAGCTGAAGGACTACACGCAAGCACAGATACACACACACACACACACACACTTGTCACCTTCTCGCAGATTCGAACAACACAAAGTGAGAGAGAACGTGTTGCGTTGGTGTCGCCACACATCCCACCATCATTCACTTCATGTCACCCTCACGCTCCGCGTCACTCAACTCTTCAAAATCATCGGAATAGTCCACCCCCTCTTCCTTCTCGTCCGCTCCTTGTTGTTCCTCCTGTCGTGGTGGCGGCGGTGTCTCGACATCCGACAGCCACAGCGGTGGCTCGTCAACTGTGTTGGGCGTGTGCTCGAGCTGCAACGCGTCAACGGCAGCCAGCAGAGCGCTTCTTGCAGCAGTCTCCCTCTTCGAGAGCACTGCACCACAGGGATCTACATGGTGCTTATGCTGCTGCTGTTTCTTTTTATTTCTCTCCTTGTTCCGGTCACGCTTCTTCCTCTTACCCCGTACTCTTCGCGGTGGCGACGGCAGCGGGGGCTCCTCCTCCTGCATGATGCGTTCCTCCATTTCCTCGCTGAACAGAGCAGTGGGCACACCTGCGGCCGCCTCGTCCTCACCCTCCTGCCCATATGAGCTTGACAGGCCTTTGCTTGACGGCGATGCGGTTTCGTGCGTTCTGCCAGCTGTAATAGCGTACATGAGCTCCGAGACGTCATGGTTGAGACTGGCGAAGAGTTCTGGTTCGGTGCAGCTGATGAGACTGCGGATCTGCGCCAGAAGCGCGTCGCGGTGCGCCTTCTGTTCACGGAGGGCGGCCACCTGTTTCTCCTGCGCCTCAATGTCGCGTCGCAGCTGCTCGATGGAGGACATGCCGCGGCAACAAGGTGGAGGTGGGGGCAGTGGTGGCGAGGGCAGTCTCCGAACACCGCGGAAGAAGCGCGAGGCAGTGAGGGAGAAGGGGGAAGCGCAGCACTCTTGTCGGGCACGGAGCGAGGCAGTGTGGAAAGAAAGCAGAGACGGCAACCAGTGCGTAGAGAATGGAAACACGGACTTCGGCAACTGCAAGAAAATCAAACAACAAGCCAAACTGCATGACGACGACAAAGAAAAAAAATACTCTAAAAAAAGGGTAAGAAGAAAAATGCGAGATTAAATATTCTTCGCCTACATGCCCAGCGACCGGTCGGCATCGCAACCTTCCGGACTCACCGAATTGTTATCCCCCACACACACACACACGCACAACATTCAGGGTGTCACTTCGCCATGTACAGGAGGTACTGCAGAAGCGGGCGGCACCGTATGTGGTGACCCTCCTTAAACACAAGCAGCATCTCCTCTGCTGTTGCGCAACGCTCTACAAGAGGAGCACGATACACGAACAGGCCCGCTGCTAACAGAGGCAGCAACCACAGGGCGCAGGGTGCACACAAGGAATCCTTCTTCTTCTCCGACATGCCGTCCTCTACAGGGATGGAGATGGATGTCTGCTCAGCAAACATTTCCTCCACATGGTAGGAAAGTATAAGGTCCCAGAAACTCAGAAGCTCAGCCGGCTCCAGCACCTCTACAAAGGCAGAGAGCATCCAATGAATGGCCAAGCGCAGCGGCGGCAGGTGTAGTGTGCGCGTGGCGTGCAAACAAGCCGGTGCGGCAAAGCGTGCCACTAAATCCTCAAATATCCAGCAGCATTGAATCAGCTCCGGCGTCGGGCCCTGTAGACGACACCACAGTTGCCCAAACAGCGCCGAGAGGAGATCGTACTGCTCTACTGTGTCACCCGTAATGTAGCACACTGGTGCAATGAGCAGCGCAGAGGTGCGAACAGGAAAGAAGCCAGAAGGTGGTGTCCTATGTTGTTGCTGTTGTTGTGCCGCTCCCTCTGTTGGGGAAACCTGCAGAAACACCAAATATGAGTCCAGCTGCTCAGGAGGACGACCCAGTTGCCGCAGTGTGTTCCGCAGTCGCACGTCCGACAGGCTCTTATCTAGAATGAGTGAAAGGGCAAGAAGTTCCGCCTCATCTGCAAAGATGAAATATTTGTCACTGTTGCCCACACACTGTGAATTGTCCACCTTAACCACGGCTTGAAGCACCTTGGATGTGGTCTCCTGCTCCTTTGTGGAATAGGTGTGGTGCATACGGCGTTTGATCTTGTCGCGGCAGTACTTGGACGCAAAGGAAAGAAACCCCGCAATGCTGTGGCCATGCTGATTCGCCTGAAGCTCCCCACGGCCTCCAAAGAGCGATGTACCGTCTGTGACTACCAGTGGAAGCTGCAGCGCTCTCGCGTATAGCAGTCGACGCAGCGAGGGGCTCACGCAACCACGAAGCGCCTTGGCCACCGCCTCAGGGGTGGAGCCGTGCTGCAGCAGGGCGTCGAGGTTTCGCTCCGCGTCATCTATGGAGGGATCGGTGTGGGCGGCAGCACCTGGGGAGCCATTCGACGGGTGCAGCGCCGCAAACCAACGACGGAGCGCCGTGAGACTTGGGACGAGTGTTTCGTGTTGCGCTAACAGCTCCTGAATGGGCGCACGAAACACCGTCAGCAATCCAAAGGAGTCAATGCTGTCGCGGAAGATAGACGCATCACCACCAAACACCCGCGACACGAGAAGCTTCTCCGTGGTGGTACTGTTAAGACCCTCCACTAGCGTTCCGTAGAGCTGCTCAACCGACCACTCCAAATCCTCGCCATCCTCGCTGCTGCTCACTTCCACTGCAGGCATACCGTCAACTTGGTGCACAGACTGTTTTAGCGTCTGCACACGTGCTGATAGCATTTGACGCCACTTCCGCCGTGATTCGCCAAGAAGAGAGTGCAGAAGCATGCAGATCGGCTCCGTTGACTTGTTGCCCAGTTTTGTGCTAATTTTCCTATGGTGTCGCCCACAACGGAGCAACTCCTGTTCGCGCTGCTCCAAGAGACTGATGCGTCTCGATTCAAAGGCGGAGTTTTGTTTTGCGGTAATCATTAAAAGAGCATTTCTCATTTCATCCCGAGACAAGGGCACCCATTGTACAACATCATTGTTATCACTCTTAACAATGTCGTTGCCGTTGCTGGTATTGTTGCCGTTTTTATCATTATTCTCCCCGGCCAACACAGAGGCGCCCTTGGCCTCTGTCCGCAGGGCCGCGTTGCTCAACTCCCGCTGCAGAACATGCGAGATGGTGTCACCTCCCAGCTGAATTTTCTGCAGCAAGCCATTGCGTCCCTCTGCACCGGCAGAGTGCAGCGGTCGTGGCAACGCTGCCGTTAATGCCGCTGACGGGGCCCGTGGGTCAGCTCGCTGCGGCGGTGGGCGCACATCCGCCACGGAAACAGAAGCCGCAGCAGCAGTCCTCACTCCATACGGTCTCGCCAGCGACATGTTGGTCAGCAGCCGACAGGATGGAGGGAGATGCAATCTTCTCTACAGGCGCAGTGGACGTTAAATAGTGCGTAGAGTTAAGATTACTATAAGGGGCGCCACAAACTTGAGGAGAGACAACACACAAATGTGCAGAAGAAGCGCACGACGCGGTTTGCCAAACCAAACAAAAAAAAAAAAAACACANAAAAAAAAAAAATCGCCCCTCGCCACTCCCTCCTCCTCCCCATTCTACACCACACTGTACAACTCAGAGAATGATAACACCAGAAAAACGACAACACCACACAAGACACACACACCGGCACATGCACACAAGCATGCATCCAACGCGCACAACCCGGTGGCCTAATTATTCCTCCTCTGCCCCTTCTTCTTTCAATGTGCAAGACGCTCTGCTTCAGCGAGCATGTCATGGAGGGTTTCCAGTAACTCCTCCGCTTGCCCTGGTGTACATGAAACGCTCGCCAGCACTTCGTCACCGTTGTTGAGAGGCGCCACGGCACTGCAGCCTCTGCCAGTAAATTGAAACTCAAATACCGGCACCGACGGTGTAATGGGGTTCCTCGCGCGATCACCCAGTTCATGTGACAAGCACCACGACACACCACCCAGCTGTGGCAGGAATAACTGCGGCCCTTGTCCAAGCATGCCCGCTGCACGGAGAGCTTCTACTGCGTCTTCGAATGCGTCAGCGAGGATGTTAGCCCTCTGGCACTGCATAGGCAGCGCACCGAGTGCCTCACGGAAGACTGCCCCTTCGCATTGCTGCCGCACAGCCTCCGCATAAACAGCTGCAACACCGTCCAATGCAGCTGCTGCAGTCGGCCCAAATTCATTCTGCGTGACTTCCTCACACGCGATCCCATCACCATCACAGTGGCTGCCTTGAAGGCTGCGAAGCACCAGCTGCGTTGCCCCCCTCACCTCCTCCAGAGCAGCAGCATTTATTGCCTGCACAGAGGCGGGAGAAACGTGCAACATCGACAGTGGATGTTGACTCTGACCCGTCCACACACAAGGAATAAGGTTTAGAAAAAAATAAAAATAAAAATAAAAAAGAAGAAGCAATCAACTCTCCTTTGCGTTTAGTCTTTCCAAGGGGAAATTTTTTTTTACACACATACACATATAAATAAATAAATATATATATATATATATATGGATGTGCATATAACCTGTGCACACGCAAAAGAGCAAACAACATTTCTTCACGGCAGCCAAGTCCAGTCGACTTTCCCATCCAGCGCCGTCCTTTTGTTTCGTCTTGCCTCACACCCTCATCTCCACAGCCTCCACTGCGCTGCCTTAGCCCTCCCTCCTTTGCTGCTGCACCAGGTTGTACCAGCGGCGAGGCTGCGCCGGCCGCAGCTCCACCACAAAGCTGTACCGTACCGTTTCACAGCTACGAGCGGCCCAGTCGCTCCGCACACGATGCAGAACAGCGGGAAGGGCGCCGTTTGACAACACACGCATCAGGTTGCTGCTCAGCAAAAGCGTGTCCTCGCCCTCAGCGCACGGTCCAGGATCCTTCCATCCCGGCAGAGCATCCACCACGCTCTCGTCTCCCGTTTCATCGTAGCGGTAGTTTCCCGGCCGCCCCGGCAGTGACGGCAGCTCCGCCTCTAGATTCACCTCCAGCCCCGGCGCGGAGGCCTGCAGCAACGCCGTGCAGAGGCCCGGGTCGTAGTGTGGCCGGCAACCGGTGCCAGCGTTATAGCGCCAAATGCGGAAGACCGAGCGACGCCCAATGTCACTTAGGAACTCAGAGCGGGCCACCTCTGCTATAGACGGGTGTCGCATAGCCTTCTGCGCATAAGCCATCGCGGCCGCCTCAAGGCCACGACATACGTGCAGCACAGGTGGAGGAATTTGCCGGTGCCCTTTTCCCAGTTCTTCCCATACACGACAGAGGGGTACAGACAACTCCACCTTAGGCGGTGGGCCGATCAAGGCCTTCTGTCGTGAGCCAATATGAAAAATGGGCGACGCCCCTTCAAAGAGCTTCGATTCTTCTAGAGCACTGAAGGCCGCGGCCACCTCTTTCAGCGAAAAGAGCGCACAGAATGTCGTTGACGGAAGCGTGGCGTCCACAGTGTGCGTTGGTCCCTGAAGGTCGGCGTGTATTTACTCGCCCCTCCGAATTTCCTCCCCCCAAGCCCCGCCACAAGAGTCCAGCGGCGGAAAGGGAAAAAGAAAACAAAACAAAAAAAAAAAAGAGACATACCGCAAAGAGATTTGATATCACCCAAAACAGGCCCAATCACAAAGCACCACCCTACGCCCATGCCTCGTTTTCCTTTCCTCCATTTTCTCGTAAAACTCTCCTCTCCCCGATACTGCAGACGGATGAAGAAGAACGAGACACCCCAGAGTCAGAACTCTTCTATGCTCCTCCTTCGCCACCCTCCACACAGAAGCACATGACGATGGCTATTCAAACACAGAGTGAAACATGTTGTTTTGCCGGCAAATGTACGGCCCGTACTCTTCATACTGCTGCCTTGTCTTGGCGATCGTGGCAAACTCCGGGCTGGACCCAAGTACACTGCCACCGTACCAAACCGCGTACCGTTGCCGCTCGTGCGACACTACATTCACTTCATAGCTGATGTGCCGGTTAGGATCTCCTGACGCCGCCATGTGTTTCCGGGCGCGATGGTCGACAATAGCACACAGCCCCTTCTGCAGGCGCTTACCGAACTTCGGAAACATCGTCGTTCCGCCAGAGAGCACCACGTTGCGGTAGAGCGGACGCCGGCAGTCGATGGGGCACGACCATATCGCCTGATCAACCACCTCAGGTAGCGGCGTTGTCCAGTCGCTGCTGAAGATTTCCGGGTGGAAAAATATTTCCGGGCCTAAGAACTTCTCGTAGCCAACGTCCACCGTGTACGGCTGTCCTGTTTTGCTGCTTACGTCATGGTGTTTTGTGATGTGGTTGGGGAGGTCGTGATCGTAAGCGTCAAACTCCCTTGCGATGTCGCGTGCAATGTAGCAGTACTTTTCCTTGATGCGTTGGGCCAGCAGCAACGCGTCATCGGGCGGCACCGGTTCACCCCGCTCACGCAGCCGCTCCAGCACGAAGTTCGTGACGTCACGCCCAGCAAGAGGGATATGGCGAATTGCGTGGTTCATCACGAAACCGTCAACAATAGGAATGATGTGCGTCACGCCTGCACCGGAGTCAATGACAAGGCCGGTGTCTTTCCCAGCAACACCGAGTTCCTGCGCCTTCCCCGAGGTCCACGAGGCCCGCAGAGCGAGGGTTCCTTGCACAGCGATGTGCAGCTGCTTCACGCCAAACGTCTCGAACATCACCTCCGCGGTGTACTCACGGTTCTCGGGTGGGTTTGCGGGTGGCTCCGTGAGAATAAAGCCATGCTCCTCCGGTTCTACGCGTAGGTACTTGTAGATACAGTGCTGCCACATCCGCTCCATCTTGTCCCAGTCCTCGACGATGCCGTGCTTGATTGGATACGATACGCTGCACGACCCTGCCCGTGCGGCCGCCTCCTCGCCCACGAAGAACTCAAGGTCATCGAAGACATCGTTGGAGCGGCGCCGCACCGTCCCGTTGTCGGCGTAGATGGTGGGCATGATGTAAGTCGGCTCCTCGTTGCCCGCGTAGCCCATCTTGGTGTACCCCGTCCCATTGTCAATGACCACAACTGGATATGACATGACGCAAATGTTAACGCTATATATATATATATATATATATATGTATGGCGTGTATGTGTCGGACGTGCAGCACTCCTCCTCACACACACACACACACACACA